AACTAAAAATGTCAAAAACACAACAAAATGACTAAAACTTTAACTAAAATTAAAATGGAAGTTATACAAATAAAAATGCATTCAAAATAGTAATAAAATTTATAACAGTATCTCAATAATACTAAAATAACACTGACTAAATGAATAAAAATGCCAAAAGTCTAGGGCATGTCAATTGCCCTACCACAGTTTTTGCTTTTATTTATTTACTGAGGGACGAGTCGTCATTGTAATCTGGTAATTGACATTATGTCACAAATGCTGTCAGCAGCTTATGCTGTTCTTTTATCCATTGAGGTCTCGGGTTGGCCATTCTCTGAGGATTTTTAGGTCTTAAATGCTCAAGGATTTGTTTTGTAATACCACAGATCTATCCCAAACATCCCATTTTTTCATTCTTATCTTCCAGCCTGTCGTCCATGGCCTCAGGTCTGTTATGTCCCTCCATTTGCACGTCTTCAATGGCCTGTTCTCTTAATGCAAATGCATTTGTGCGATGGCATGATCTCTGTTGTGTTGAGGATCTTTTAAAGCTCTTGGCCAGAACATCTCATGCTGAGCTCTTTATAGTAGTGTTTTTATCGGCTGGTATCATAAACTACAACTGCTCAATATCTGCTCAATACTGAAGTCCTCATTCAGCAAGCTTTAAAGCGGTGTTCATGAAATGCATTGGAGACTTGAGTTTACAGGTAAACTTTTTTTTTTCTTTTATATTTTAAAGGGGTCATATGATGCGATTTCAAGTTTTCCTTTCTCTTTGGAGTGTTACAAGCTCTTGGTGCATAAAGAAGATCTGTAAAGTTGCAAAGACTAAGGTCTCAAATCAAAAGAGATATTCTTTATAGAAGTTAAGAGTCAACCACACCTACCTAAAACGGCTCGTTCCAACACGCCCCCACATGTCTACATCACAATGTGGGAAGATTTGCTTAACGCCGCGCAAATGTTCACACAAAGAAAGAAGGCGTAACTATTATTCTCGCTGTAGTATTGTTGTTGCCGCCGGCGCCATGTCGTGAAGGTGCTGTGTGTTTCCTTGTGAAAGCGAAACTACTTTGTTTGGCCTTCCAAAAGAGGACGATATCCGCTTCGTCATGCCTAGAGCTGATCC